GGAAAGGCATTCCTGGCAAGGGAAGAGCATGAACAAAGGCACAGCGGGGGCCTGCCTGGTGGCACAAGGGGTTAAGATGCAAACTATGAAGCTGTCCACAGCCTCTGCAGCACGAGTTCGATCCCCCAGCCAGAGAACAATCCACATGGCACAGCAGACCTCTCCTGACTCACCCACTGCTCCCCTCCAGTTCTATCAGCTACTAGCTGGGTAAACTTGAGCAGGTTATTCTTCTTTCTGCATCTTTTTTCTCATCCGTAAATGGAACTAAGAATCAGTCTCACAGAGCTCTTGTGAGAATTAAGAAATTAATGCAGGGCCTCCCTGGTGGCACAAGGGGTTATGACACAGCCTATGAAGCTATTTGCAGCCACTGCAGCATGAGTTCGATCCCCGGCCAGGGAGCTACCCACAAAGTGCGGCAGACCTCTCCTGACTCACCCACTGTCCCCTCAGCAGTGTATTTCAGTCGGCTGTTCTGTTCCCCACTCTGTCTCTGGTGAATCCTCTCCACCGCCCCTGCCGCCCCCACGCCTCTGGCCTGTACCCCAGCTCTTGTATGCATAAATAAATAAATCTTAAAAAAAAAAAAAAACAAAGGCACAGCAGGAGAAGGGAGAAACAGTGGCATGCATGAGGCCAGAGTTCTGACCAGTGGCCTATTAATTTGTGGCTAATCTCACAGGCAGAGGCAATGGACAGGGCACGCAAGTACTTCAATTTGCTCGCAGAGCTCAGGCATCCTGGGCAGCTTGCTGCTTTGCTCTCCTCTCCCTACTATCCCTGGGGCCCGAATCTGGGAACTGGCCCCAGGGTTCCCTGGAGCTGTTGCATGGAACATAGGAATGTAAACAATTTCCTGCTCCACAGGCCAGAGATTCCTCCTTATATACTGACCCTGCATGTGTCACTGAGGGTCACCTGGGCAGTGGCCACAGGCCTGACTTACCCAGAGCCTGGCTCCCCAAGGGAGAGGTTGTTTTCCCATCTCGAGCTATATACTTCCCTTTACATACTGGCCTCCCCTCTGCCCACCGCCCACCTACACCATAACTGTTCCCATTCAAGCCTCTGAAGACCATGCCTTCATGTTTATTGGGTAACAGACTTAGGGGTCCCTCACCTGCTTCAACCCTGTGGCTGCCTGACGGACCGACACCAACTCTATCTCACAAACTTGATTGGGCCTGTTCAACTGCTGTCAATTCTGACTGTGATTCAGACAAGTTACTTAGCCTCTCTGAGCCTCCGTTTCTCATATGTAAGAAGAAAAGCTATTAACAATGGCATAGCTTCAGAGCTTTGCCATTAGGCTTAAATTAGCTAATGTTTGAAAGCTCTTAAATGAGCGCCTAGTTATCTGGGTAATACAGGTGTGCTACATAGGTAAGCTACCATTATAATTATGAAGATATCTGAATAGAGTCTTTCAATGGGAAGGAATCTCTCGCATTATTACAGAGTTGGCAAATATCGCAGGGGTTAAATACAGTTTTCCTGGAACCTAGCCATGCCCATTCATTTAAGTATAGTCTACAGCTACTTTCATGCAACAGAGACCCCACGGCCCACAAAGCCAAAAATATTTACTTGCTGGCCCTTTACAGAGAGCTTGCTAGTAACTATGTTATTAGGTTGGCTCATAGTGACAGTATTCAATCATTTTTAATCTATGAAAATCATCAACTTCATATGGTTCAACTTAGTACATCATGCTGGCTTATCATGTGTCCCAACTTACCCATTAAAAAAGGCATTTCATGCTCTAAATCCAGTGATTCTAATCATAATAGATTTATAATCATTATTTATCGAGCACCTCCCATGTTCGAGGTTTATCTGAGTGTTCACCACACATAAGCAAGGTAAATATCTCCACCATGCCTTTTGCAGAGGAGGAATGTGAGTCTCAGAAAGATGCAAAGTGTAAGCCTAGGACTCCAACCAGGTGTCCAGATCCCACATCTGCCATGTTGTCCCCACACAGTGCTCTCTGAGAGCTCACTGCAGTGGGGTTCATCTTGGAAAAGGACAAGAAATGGTGAGAGTGAGAGTCTCCCACTTCCCAGACAGTGCTGGGGCCACTTAGTGGCTGCCCATCATCCTGTGACTCCCTCATCAGCCTCTGGACACTGGTCAGGACAATATGACTATAGTGTGAGCCTCAGGCAGGGCTGGGGAGGGGAGGCCACTTTAAAAAAAAAACAAGCCAGCTCTCCTTCCAGGACTGGGGAGCTATTTTTAGCAGCTGCCTAAATTATGGTTTTCCCCCTCTGCGCTGGGAAAGGCAGAGAGAGAAAAAGTAAACTCTATGATCCCTGAGTCTCCCCTCTGTGTAGATGGGGGTGGGGAGGAGAGAAAGGGGCATCATGCTGGGAAAGTGAAACTAAAAACATTCCCCCCAAGTGGTAGTTCTCTGACTTGGTGGTGACTGGAAGTTGTGGATTTTCCACTTGGTTGTCTCATTTTGAGAAATGATAAAGAGACTTTAGGTTTCTTTGTCCCACTAAGGCAGAAAACAAGCAGATGGCAAGTTCCAAGGCCATGGCCCAGCATCCATCCTTTCCACCCTCCCCTGAGTGACTGCCATTCAAACAACAATTTTCTGGGAGTTTTAGATGAACTCAACATCCTATCCCATCCTATCCACCAGAGTCACTGTCTGGCCAGGAGGCATGTGCTTAAGCAACCAGGATGCAGGGAAGGGAGTAGGTACACTCCCTACCCAGAGACTGGAGAGAGGGGAGAGTGACCTCTGGGGAGATCTGGAAACTTCACCAGGGAAGAGGCATTGAAGCTGGGCTCTGAGGAAGGAAAAAGGTTGGCACCTGCCAGTGGGGCAGTTCAAAGAGACCCTCACAGCAAGGTGGGCCAGACATCAAAAGAGGCACCAAGATGAATGAGAGGTAGAGTGGGAAACGAGATCAGGGTCAGATAAAGAAAAGGCTAAGTGCTGGACTAAGGAGGAGGAAGGCACTAAGAGGTGGGTGGTCGGTTCATCAGTTGATTATGTGTTTGGCTTAGAGTAAGGAGAGAGGTTGTGAGGCCTGGTCAGAGCTGGGGTTTGGGTGGACAAACCTGGTGGCACCACATGGAGTGGCATATGGCATATGGGTGAGAGAGGCAGAAGAGGGGAGGAGTTAGAAGGCCGTTCTGAGTGAGAGCTAATGAGACCCTGAACTCTGAGAAAGGGGAGGAGTGGGTGGATGCCGGGGATGTCATGGAGGGGTGCGCATGCCAGCACATGTGAGTGGATGAGGGGGCTCTGGCAAGGCATTTACTGAGCGCAGTAAACAAGGACTTGGACAGAGAATGTGTGGGAGTGGGAGGAGCTCTTTGGGCAACAGCTGCACAGTGAAAGAGAAGGAATTTCAACACCCAAGTCTCTGCTACCCATTAGACCCAGAGATCCAGAGCTCCTGATCCAAAAGGAAACCACCCTCCCCATGGTACCATGATGCCCATGACCTCTGGGAAGCCAAGCCCCCTCCAGTTCACACAGAGGACGCTGCCTTTACTGAAAGAACACAGGAGCAAGAGCCTGCAGCTTCCTCTTTGCTTTCCTGCCAGGTCTCCCACCAGAGCCCCCCAGTGCACTGAGAATGCACACCATTCACTGAGGGGCCCAGGCTGGGAGAAAGCATCACATGCCACTCCTCCTGGTTCCAGAACTATGGGGGTCCTGGAGGCAGATCCCATCTGGGTTCTGGCTTAGTCTTCTGCAGACACAGCATCCTCCTGACTGTCCTGAGAGGTCTGCACTCCACACCCAGAGACTGCAGCACCAAAAGCAGTGTTCTGCCTCCCATGTTCACACCAGAAAAGCCCCTGCACTTGCCTCAGGGCCTGGCTGGACATAAACCAGTGTGAGCAGAATGAGGAAGGTGGGCAGGGGAGATAAGCTGACCCCTGAGAGGCAAGTGTGATCAAAAATGCAGACACAGGGTGACTCTTCCCCATTCATCAGATCGTTCACTCAAACAAATTCCTTCTAACAAATGTTCCCTTTGGTGGAAAAGGGAGATAACCTAATACCCATATCGCATGTGGATGGGATCATGATAGCAAAGTACAAATGGCTGGGTCTGTGTGACCTGAGCCCTCTGTTCTCTCAGTTTAGAGAAGCATCAGACTGCAGAATAAGCACTGAACAATCAGAGACGCTGGCAAAGATTCAGGACCATAAGTTACTAATACTATAATGCTAACGGCATAGAAGGCCAAAAACACCTCAACTATAAGCACATAAGAAAGGGTTAGTAGAGATTGGTTCCATGATAGGTAATAGAAATAATGAGATAAATAGATAGGCAGATGCAGACTCTCTCTTTCTCTCTCAACAGCCTGAAGTAATTATCTTCGGGCTGCTGGAGTTTGGGGTTATTTTTCTCAAAATTTTGGGGACTTTTCCAAATTTCCTACTATAAGCATTTATTATTCTCATCAGAAAAAAAAATGTTATTTTCAAACTAGACTAAAAATGAGGAAGCCTAGGGCTGAGTCCAGCTCTGCCCTAGCAGCCAAGCAGAACAAGAAGGAAAGGCCTTGGACAAAGAGCATCATTTCTTTGAGCCCCGTCAGGGAATGAACAGTCGATCCATGTGCCCTCTAGTCTCCTCCACCCCTGGCACTAGACTTTGAGCCACAAGATACATAAGGTGCTAGATGATGCTGGCTGGACTAATTCTTCATGTCCCATGAGCTCCCATGAGCCCGCCTCCATTCATTTGTTTGTTCTTTCATTCAACCACTGTTGTTTTGCACGCGTATGCTATCTTGGCACTGCTCTTGATGCTGGAAGATAAGGCAACGCAAACAGTCCCCGTTCCTGTCTCACAGAGCTATAAGCTTCCAAGTTCAGAGTCCCATTCCACAGCTCTTTTTCTTCCACCCCTAAACCATTCTGTTAATGATTCTTACCACCTTTTCTCCCAAACGTCTGGATGCATTTGTTCTATTTACAAACAGCAGGCTCCAGACCTGGTCCAGTCCCATCTCACCTCATGCAGGGACCAGGCTGGTCTCTCCATTTTCCCCTCTCCAGTCTTCAGCTCTTTGAGTAAGGTTTGTAGGAGCCTGTGAAATCTGCATTCTTCTGTTCAGCATCCCTCAGAGTTCTAGGTACAAACTGGAAACCACCTGCTTCAAGGTTTGGCCGGATGGGGAGTAGTTTTGGCCATGTGGTGGGGCTCACAAATTGTATACTAACCAAGCCTTGAAATCTGATCCACCTCCCGAGTGCTGGTGAGGACATGAAGGAAGTGGAATTTGCCTGCCCTGCTGGTGGGAATGGAAAACAGGAACAGTTTGGCCATTTCTTTGAAAGTTAAACGAACACCTACATGCGGTCCAGTTGTTTTACTCCTAAGTAAATATTCCCCCCAAAATGAGAGCGTACACCAATACAAAGTCCTACTCATGAAAGTTAACAGCAACTTTAATTCTATTACTCCAGACTGAAGCAACCCAAACGCCTCCCAACAGGTGGATCAATAAATAAATCATGTAGTGTAGCCATGAAGAGATGTACTGCTCAGCACTGGAAAGGGATGAACTGTGGATACCTGTCACACATGCATAGCTCTCAAAATAAAATTGCTAAGTAAAAAAAGTCAAAGAAAAATATGGGTACATCCTGTATGATTTCATTTATCTGCAATTGTATAAAATGAAAAGTAAACAACAGTAACTAAAATCAGAGTGGTGGTTTCCTATGGAACAAGTGGAAGGTGTGCAGGTAGGAGGTTATAAAAGGGCACAAGGGAACTTTGGGGGTGCTGGACATGTACACTATCTTGATAGTGTGATTTCATAGGGGGGTGTGTGTGTGTTCATGTGTTAAAATGTATCAAATTAGGCACTTTAGTTACCTTAAGTTTATCACATGTCCATCATACCTCAAAACTGTTAAAAACAAACAGAACAGGCCTATCCAGAGCCTCACCATAGCAAACCACCAAGGGCTCTGGCCACTGCAGCCAGCTACCTTCTAGGCGATTACCAATATTTTAAGTTGCTCTACAGTTTCTAGGAAAAACCCCATAGCCCAGAGGTAGGGGATGGGGAACAAGTTTCTACCCCTCCAAGCCTAAGCTGCAGCTGGTCTGGTCCCTCCCTCTTCTAGGAGCAGGGGAGGTACACTGGGCAGAGGGAGAGCCTTCCTGTTTAGCCTGCACTAAGGAACCTGGTATGTGTGTGAGCCTCATTTCCCTCTGTTATGTCAAACTCTGATGTATTTCAGCTGCTTCCCCAACAAACCTGAAATGCAAAAAATAAGATGCTGACAGTAATATATCGCTAAACTATCCCATGCTCCACACTTTACAAGATAGATATTCACTACATTTCTAGAAAGAAGGATACTAATATTTACTAAGAGCTAAGCTGGGCACAAACCTTCATGGTCATTCATCACACCACAGCATTACCCCCCACACACTGCCCCCGCAACCATGGTGTGACGTGATGGTCTGCATTTTGACATAGAGGGAAATCAAGAGTGAGAGAAGAGAGAAGGTAAGCAACTTGCCAGATGAGTGAAGTTCATAAAACATGTGAGCCTCAGTCTGGCTGACCCCAAAACTCAGACACAGTCTTCCCATCACACCAGGGTGTGGCATGTCCACAGCAGCAGCAGGGGAGAGAGCTGGGTCCCCACAGTCATGGCAGAATCTTGTGGTGCTCCATCCCTCCTCTACAATCCCATCCTGGCTCTCAGGGAAGAAGGCAGCACCAGCCCAGGGAAACACTGTCCCCAGCCACCGTCATCTTACCACACACAATGAGTCACAGAGGACCCAGGCTGCCCATCTTCAAGGCAGACTCAGGCATGCAAACTGAGATCTCGGAAGGGCCCCTGCTTAGTTTAATGCTCTGCTGCCCTGCTCTTGACAGCTTTAATAATTTGTGAACCAAGAGCCCTGCATTTCCATTTTGTACCAGGTCCCACAAATCCTGCAGCTGGTCCTGCCCGTCTTGCCCAGTGGCCAGCACAGACCAGTTTCCCAGGAGAAGCATTCCAGCAGCCCCTCCCTGTGTTTCCAAAATTGTTACCCACAGTCTTCAAATGGTCAGGACAGAACATTGACAAGTTACTTTAATCTGGGGTGGCTTCCTGCCCAAATGGCCTTGATAGGCAATTCAGTAACAATTGGGCTTCTGCTGGCCCCACCTTGCCTCCTTGTCCCACCTCATCCCTCAGTTCCACTGTCCCCAGTTTCCCACCACACTGTACTGCTAACTCCTCCCTAAATGCACCCTTGTCCAAGGGCCCTAAATTCCTGGAGGGCACAGAAGCTTCCTCTTTTATTTCCAAGCCCCAGGGCTCCTTTCTCTCACACAGCAGGAAGTAGTGAGGGGATGAATTAAATAAATGCAGTACATCCTGGATTCTTGACCTTGTCAGTATCTCATCAGTGTGACCAAATCACATTGGCCCTATACAGTGACAGTAGGCCTTTCAGCAGTTGGATAAACATGCTTTCTCCAAGTAGCCTTCCTGACCATAATCTACATGAATGCTCCCAAATAAACTCAGAGCAGTTTTTGACTGAACAGTCCATTCTGTACTGCTTCGTGGTACTAGGTGTTACTTAATTTCTTATATTAAACTGTATTTCTTATGCCAGTGAACATTGCCCCATCTGGACTCAGTTGAGCTCCATGAGAATAATTTCAAACACATGCCAAGTAAGCAGCAGATCCCCTTCCTGAATGAGTGAAATCTAATGGCTTTGGGGTGGTGGTGGGAGGGGCCAAGAGACAGCTGTTAACTCCCCATAAATAAACCTCCATGGCAAACCCAATGAAGTCAGGCCCGTCAACCTTTTCTCCTCTTCAGAGGCCATGGGAGGTCAAGATATGCAAGCCTTGGCCAGGTACCCTCAAGAGGTGTCTCAAGTGACTCTCAGCAAGAGGCAAAGGCATGCTCCTCTATAAAGTCGCATGCTTAAATCAGATCTTGGAATTCCCAGACAATACATAGGGTATTTTCATTTCTCTGTGTATATGCTTTGCCCCTCATCCCTGCAAACAAAAGGCATCTTTGCATGTAAAGGGTGTAAGGGAGATTCTGCTCTGTGCTTCAGGGAAAGGTGACCCTGGGTCCAGGGTGCATGCTGAAGAAGCTGGGCTCTCAGAACCCTGGCCCTCCTCCCAACAGTTGCATGAATCCTCTCGTGGACTTCCCCATTTCTAAATTGCCTTTGACCCTGACACTCCTGCAAGTTCTGCCCCATCTCTCCAATGAAAAGGTTTCTTCCCCAGGGCACTTCATTTTCTCCCTGTCTCCTCAGTGCTCAGTGATGGAGGCCCAAGACCCTCCTCACCCTGCTCCACTCTCTCTTGCCTCTGATTTGCACCAGCTGGTTCCCTCTGCCTTTGTTCCCCAGTCACCTGTCCAGTCTTGCCCCTGAGACTTTCTTCCTTTCCCTCATTAGCATTCTGACTTTCTCCCATCATGAAACATCAGACAGCTGATACTGCCCCTGAATGACAGTCACTACCAGTGGGTGGAGACCTTCTTGAGGTTGTCACAGTGTCAGCCATCAGTGTAGGGTAAGTAAAGTATCAGGCTTTTCTGCCCTCCCACCCTTAGGATTGATGATGGATCTGCGGTCCTGAATGCATGCCTGTTGGCGGGCACATGGAGTAGGGTGTGGGCATATGTAGATGGGATTCACCTGGGCTGAGGCTGGGCTTAAAAGGGCGGTGTCACAGGGACGCCAGCAGAGCGAAAGAAAGCAGCACCAGCAGAGAGGCAGAGACAGCGAGAGAATGCTGGGGAGTACTGGAAGAGTGAAGACTTTCTGGGGGTTGGAGGGCCTGCCAGCCTCCTGGCACCCCTGCCTGCCATGTACCTAGTAAACCCCAATAAAAGCCTGCAAAAAGCCGCCAAGGGCTCCAATTCTGTCCTCCTTTTCCCCGTCTGCTCAGGTCATAAAGATCCTGCCCTGTGCCCATCTTGCCACTACAATCAGGAACCCCAGTGCCCAGCTGTAGGGCAAGTGATCTAACTAGGCTTTTTATGCCAATAGCCTCTGTGACTGTCACCTGCAGCCTTGATCTTGTTGATGCAGAAGGCGCTTGGGAGTGTGGACATGGGGCATGCGTGCCTGATAGTGTCACCTGGAGGATGGGTGTGCGTGCATGTGTAATGATCACCTGAGCCTAGAGGCCAGGGATATAAGAGAGGCATCAGGGACAGAAGGATGGCTGCGGGAGGATGGCTGCGAGAAGACAACTACAGAAGAGGTGTAAGGGCAGGACAGGACACAGTGCAGGTTTTCTGATCTCATGCAGACCGGGTAAAGGAGGAGTCAGAGTCCTCAGTGGTCTTGCAGGTCTTTATTGGGGTTCAGTGGGTACGTGGCAGGCAGGGGTGCTGGGGGCTGGGAGGACTGGCAGTCCTCCCAGCCCCCAGCAAATCTTCACTCTATCTGGGCTCTCTGGCCTTCTCTGCTTCTGCTTTGGGCTTCTTCTCTTTCGGCTTCTACTGGCATCCCCGTGACACCACCCTTAAAAGCACAGTCTTAGTGCAGGTGTACCCACTTCAGGTGGCCGCCATCAGGCATGCATTCAGGATCACAGGGTTCCCTCATCTATCCTGATGGCGGGAGGGCAGAAAAGCCTGATTTTTTTTTTTCCTTACCCTACAAGAGGCAAGACCACAAGAGAACACCAAAGAGAGCCCAGAGAAAGTGAAGTTTGATGGGGGCCTGGGAGGCTCGGGTGCCTGCCTGCCTCCCAGCCCCAGCTAGCCTGCAGGCTTGCCACTCTACTAGCACAGAGCTGGTACACTAGAGGTGTGCAGGGCTTTGCCAAGTTCGCACCTCTCAGATTTCTGTTCTCCCTTATCTTCTCTCCCTCCACACAGCCTTCCATTACCTTATTTCAATTCATTCAGCAACAGTCACGCCACAGCCCTTCTTTTCCCAGGCTCCGGCTCCAGCTCCACATTCCCGTTCCAGTGTGCCCACACAACTCCCCCCACTTCCTCTCAAGCTGACTTCATCTCCTGCCCTTCTCAACTGCCCCTGCTCCTTTCTGTGAAAGGCACCATAGTCCTGAGGCTCAAATCTACAGAATGATCAACTCCTCTGTTGAGGGCTGCTAGCAGGTGTTTTGTATCTATTACCTCATTTCATTCTCACACAAACACTGAGAGGTGGGCATTAGCATTCCGATTTTACAGACCCAAAACTCAGGCTCAGAGAAGGCCGCACAGCACACAACCCACTGAGCCTGGCTTAGAGGCAGGCTTTCATCACAGTCCAAAGTTCTATTTACTCTCCTTTATTTCATGAATTATCCAATCAGTCTCCACCCCTGGTCTATGTAGAAATGCTTCCCACCTGAGTCCTTTGCTCTCCTGTGGGGATGCTCAGGCCTCACTCAGACACAGGCAAGGCCATGTGGTCTCAGAGCCAGGGGCTGAGTGAGCATCCTGATTGACTGGCAGCATTCACCTTGCTGAGTGTTCAGTCTGAGCAGGCAGGCACTGTAGCTTGGAGCTGTTTCTTCAAGGTGCTTTCCTTTCTTACCATTAGCCCAGCCTAGGCTGGAGCTGACCCTTACTTTTGTACCCCATCTGCACCCTCTCACTCACACCTCTGTTCCAAGTTCCTGCACAAGTACCTGCTTGGAGCATAGCCTGGGCTTCTGCTCTCTGCTTTCACTTTTGCTCTTTATTTTCCCACTCTCAGCACCATCTCCAGCTACAGTGCGTCCTGAGGCACCTAATCGACTCACCAGAAATGCGGATTCCAGGGCCTGCCTGCTCTCAGAGTTTTCAAGTCAGCAGATCTGGGGTAAGGAGGACCCAAAGATTTGCAATTTTAACAAGTTCTCCCAAGCAATTAGGATGCAACTAGTTTAATTCACTCTCTGTTCTCTTCCCTCCTCTTTCACCAGCATCTTTACAAACTTTTTTCCCTAATCTACACCTTCTTTCTAGAGTTATGATCAAATCCTACAAGTTCTCGTACCTAACTACAAAGTAGAATCATAGGACATTTTTTAAAATATTTATTTATTTATGGATATAAAAACTGGGATGCAGGCCATAGGTGTGGGGGTTGAGAGGACTCACCAGAGACAGAGTGGGGAGCAGAACAGGCGGATCTACTGAAATACACTGCTGAAGGGAGCAGTGGATGAGTCAGGAGAGGTCTGCTGCACTAGGTGGGTAACTCCCTGGCCGGGGATCAAACTCATGCGGCAGTGGCTGCTGATAGCTTGATAGCACTGTCTAACCCCTGCGCCACCAAGGAGGCCCAATAGGGCATTTTGATATCAATTTTGATGTCAAAATACCAATGTTTGGACTCCACCCAAAAACAATTATAATGGACT